CCCCAAAACCCCAAAACCCCAAAACCCCAAAACCCCAAAACCCCAAAATCTTAAAAATATATTGAAATATCTAAACATTCTATAATTCAACCAAATAAAGATGTAAATAAACAAAGCAGATTTTCTTGTGCATTTTCCATTCGTCGCAAATTAAGTCAATGATTATAGAGCTGAACCATAAAATAAATGCCAATGATTCTATCTGGTCAAGTCTCTAAGTTGTAAAATTGAGAGCAAAATTGTTAATGCATTTTTGATATAATTTAATTTACTGTAACCTTTTCTTAGTTTGGTCTAAACAAGGGGAAGAATATTGTGAGAAAATAGCCTCTTAAAACCTTTGGATCATCTGAAAATTAGTTTGTTCCAGGTTTATTTTCTTTTAGGTATCCAAATGAACAAAGGCATATAGTATCTATTTTCTTCTTTTTTCTTGAAAGGAAGTCAAGTAAGTTATCAAATAAATAAACAGATACAAACTAGATTCACAGTCAAATCCAATGGAATAATTTTTATCTAAGAATAATAGAGATCGGGCGAATAACTATTATAAGCCCATTTAGGTCTGTGATTCATTATTTTCTTGGACATTTGATGATAGTGGCTGCTGACTAATTTATCTTGGCGTAAATACTTCAGTACTCATGCTAACAAGTTATCTCTAAGTTTTGATTGTTGGAGAACTTTAATCGTAATCAGAGTGACTCTTCTAATTTTTTGCCAAGTTGAATAGAAATTCAAACCTAGGAGATTTATGAGCTATTGCTGTCTCTAAAAATGTTCTATTAACATCATTATTTATAAAAAAACAAAGGTGCTATAGTTTTAATATAATGTTACTTTTCAATACACCATGTAGCAAGTTTCTCATCATCTAGAGTAAAATTTTCCATCTTCATTGCCAAATCATGTAGTAATGACCAACTCTCCTTTTGGTTGACTATCAATGAGTAAATTCTTTACCTAAACGAACCATCTCTTGAGGGTATTGGTCAATCAAAATCAGTACTAGATTTGATCATCCTCTCTTGATGCAAAGGTTTACGATGTTGACCTAATCAAGTTTGATCTTTAAATTTTACCTTCTTTAAAGGCGTATTTTGGACATAATACAATGGAAATAAGGATACTCCTTTTTGATCAACAAAATCGGTTCCTATGGACAGTCCATATATGGCTTGCTTACCGAGTATTCTATTCAAAAGGTTAAGTATATATTGAGCTAAATCACTGATTTTTCAATGAAATTAAAACTACAGCAAAGAACTTACTTCCAAAGTGTCCGTAAATTTCTTTGAAAACCATCCTTGGATTCAATCAAGGTCTTCATATTGAGGTCAAGTCTACCAAAGGAATTTAGAAATCATGCATCTGCCTAATAAAAATCCAAAGATATCTTACATGCTGTCAGTTTTTGAATAAAAATCATTTGAAAGCTCTTTAATGCCTACTATTAGCAAATATTTTTGCCTATAAAAGTTTAATGAGTGAATCTCCACCCAGAATTAATAGTATTAAAATAAGGAGAATATAAACTCGATATCCCACGGACTATTCTTACACGGCATCATACATCTGGGCTTTATAAAACATTGCCTCCTTGAATTCAGCTTTAGACATCCTACACTATCATTGGCTAAGGTTACTTCTTGTTATGCAATTCAGCTAGAATTTGATTCTTCTGAGATGACTCTGAAGACTTATCCTTAGTGATCTTGTTTCCCATTTATTTTATATAATATTTATTATAGCTTTTATGGGGTTTTGGGGTTTTGGGGTTTTGGGG